CCCCACTGACGAGCCCTGTAATTTCTTGCTGTTCTTACTTCCTGTTTACTCGAACTGGCCAAGTGGAGACCCCACCCAGAGCGGGTCCCATCTGCAGTTTGTGTAGCCAGTGTTAGGGAGTAACCAGTTACATAAAACAGCGTTACTTAATTAGCTTACAGAATTAATGTAACTGTAATGCACTACAGTTACTGAGAAAAAATATGTAATTAAATTATGGTTACAAATCAAAATGTTAGTGATTACAAAGGGGTTACATCCAAATATATTATTTTTGGTAAAAAGCTTAGATGTATAATATAACATTCTTTTTGTTGCTCTTTTCACTGTGCAAATATGCCTTCTAGACAACACGGGTCAGCAAAGCTGTTGGGACTTTTATTTATTGCCCAGTCTAAAACATTTGTTAAAAAGTAATCAACAAGTAATCAACTGTAATGAGTTACATTACTTTGATGAAGTAGTCAAAATAGCTACATTACTTATTACATTTTAACAGGGAAACTAGTCAGCTGTAACCTATTACATTTGAAAAGTAACCTTCCCAACGCTGTGTAGCTATGGCTCACGGCCTGTATCCAGCAGCACACGCCTCATCTCACGGGCAATAAAGGCTTGTTTCCAAATGATTGGCCTTTTTGGAGCTTCCACGTATAGGCTGGGGTTGGCGTTCTGTGTGGCTTCATCATAGTGCAAAGACGGCAGCCACCGTGCATTTTGTGCCTCATTATCTTTTTAGAAACAGGGCGCGCTGCTAAATGCTGACTAAACTCTTCTCCTTTCAGTTGCGTTTGCCTGCTCTCGCTAGTTCGAGGAAGTTGTGTGAATCCAAAACATCAGGCTGTGTGCAGTGCTGGGTATTTTTTTTATATATAAAATATAAATAAGCTTCATCGGCAGGTGGTTTTTCAATGTCCTTCATTAGGAAACTAGGAGGTGTCTGTTTGTTTGTTGTTTATTTAACTGGTTTCCTCAGACTTTGTAGTATGACAGTTTAAAAGCTACCTTCAGTGTGTGTGCCTTGCAAACGTAAGAATATGGGTCTTTATCTTGGCTCTAATGGACGTAAGGTGCCAGGAAGAAGAGTCCCATCCCATACTCAGCTCTTCAAGATTTTTAAACCCCAAAACGGTATCCCAACCCAGTTATATATCCCAGGAAGGGGACATGGTTTGACCCAGCAGGAAAAACAACCACCGTCAGATTCATTCACTCAGTCAACCTGCTTGTCATTGCCAGAGAGGATCTCATCAGTGACAAATAAAGAACTACATTAAAAACTATTACAGAAGAATTAGGACAATAGCGCACCTGAGAGTTAGGATTTCAGGGAGGACAGTAGGCAAACATTTAACTCTAGATACAAGTGACTAGATAATACACAAAGCTTTTAGGAAGCGTGACTAAAGTAACACATCTGAGTGTCCTATTTCCAACTAGCTCTCTGAAACCTGGGTAATCTTGATCATTCTTTCTCAACCCAGTCCTTGGGGACCCCCAGACGGTCCATGTGTCTGCCTCCTCTCAGCTCCCTGCCAGACCGTCCACATTTTTGCTAACAGGACCTGGGAGGGGGTAAAACGTGGACCACTCAGGGTGTCCGAAGACCGGATCAGAAACATTGATATAGATCATAACCTACCCAGCCATATCTCAGTCTGATGGTTATTGCAGTATTTAAATAATAGAATTAACCATTGATGTTTGCATTTTTTGTAAAACCTCTATGCTATTAATATTTATCTCATAGTACAACAAAAATCTTAATGACTTTTGGTGCCTGAAATAAAAATGTATTTTAGTCTCAGAGCTCTGGTGAAAAAACTTTGCTGGTTTTATTATTTTTCAGAATATTCACATAAATGTTGTGTTAATATCAGTGTAATAAACTGCCTAATATATGTAAACATATCTGTGCCTAACACATTATTAAACTTGTCAAGGTGATTGTTGATTTGATGGACGATTCGACCCGTGATGCTGATTTCCGTTACCCTGCAGTGGAGCAGAGCTTGTTTTGTTCTGCTGCTGTAATCAGGCCAGTGAGTCGTTTGTGAGCTGGAAGACGCTCAGTGACAGAGACTGTCTGTCCGTTTCCATCTACTGCAAATGGTGTAGAAAGACCGATAGCTCTCTGAAGGGGCAAATTATTGTAATGATGATTTATGATCTAAATGATGACAAGGAACAAGGGGCATATTTGACACGGAACGGGGGGGCGGGGCATATCTCACATGGAACGGGGGGGCCATATCTGACACGGAACGGGGGGCATATCTGACACGGAACTTAAAAGAATGAAGCCTCGTCAAAGTTGTATTGTGTAATGCTAAAACAAAACACCTGGTTGAATATCTCACAACTAATTAGCTTTATCGGCAACAGGTCAGTAAGATGATTGGGTATAAAAAGAGCCTCCCAGAGAGGCAGAGTCTGTGCAGTGAAGATGGGGAGACGTTCAATAGCAGAAGAGTCCTGGGTACTACACCTGTCACCCATTGAAAACATTTGGTACATCATCAAACTAAAAATACAACTAAAGAGACCATGAACGGTTGAGCAGTTGAACGATTCCTAGGGCCCCAGAGTGACTTTTCCTAAAAAATTTGTAAAATAAGTGGATTGGTCTGCACTGGGGGGCCTAATATGATATGCTCTCATGGGGCCCAAAGTCTTCAGCAACACCCCTGATTAGGATCAAGAATGGGACATTTTATTTTCAAAACTCCAGCCGCTGCTCTCGTCAGTGCCCAAACATTTACAAAGTGTTGTTAAAAGAAGAGGTGATGCAACACAGGTAAACACACCCCTGTCCCAACTTTTTTTATATGTGTTGCTGATATCAAATTCAAATTGAGCATATGTTTGTCATAAAACAATTAAATTCTCAGTTTCAACATTTGCTGTATTGTCTTTGTTTTATTCTCAGTTAAATATGGATTTATAAGATTTGTACATCACTGTATTTTGTTTTAATTTACATTTTACACAGCATCCCTGCTTTTTTGGAAACTGGGTTGTACAAAGGATATGTACATGAGTGTAAATTATGGGGGGACGGGGGGTATAATGCCTGCAATCAGCCAATACAACCCCCTGGACCCCCTAAAATGGGTAGAGACCTCAACCCCCCCAGTGCTCAAGCCAAAGTTATAGCCTTTACAGGCAAAATGGAGACAAGGGGCTGTGGGGGTGAGATGGGGGGGCATGATGGGATAGATACTTCAGCAGAGTGGGATCCTGCTGCCCCCCCCCCCTCCCAGCACTGCAGTGCTGATGAAAGGTTTCCTCTGACATTTTTCCTTGATTCCTTGAGGATACAGACAAAAGCCCCCATCTCAGGACGGGGGTGTGTGCTGTCGGGGGGGGGGGGGGGGATGGGGTGTGCATGCAGTTAAAGAAAACAGACCCTTAATGAAGCACGCCGGTGTTTACCTCTTTGGGTGAGTGTGTCAGATAGGGATCCGGCCAAGGACCACCCATGTGGCGGAGCTGGGGGGGGCAGTGCTTATGGGCGAGCCAGGGGTCAGAGGGCAGCGGGAACGTCACTCATATCCGCCAGGAGCAGGCGCTCACACTCACGTGCGCCCACACTTATTCACACGCACGGAGTGATCTCCAAAATCACCCCAGCAAGCAAAACACATAATGAAAACTAAGAACAAGCAAAGACTTTCAATTCAGTGCAAAAGCAGCTATGAAGGAAAAAAGGGAAAAAATATTTGTCAGGATTATTATTTTTGTGGGTGTGTTTTCTTATAGGAATAGCAGAAGCTGTGCGCACACACACACACACACGCACACACAGATTAGGTGTCTATATCTTTGTGGGGACTTTCCATTCATTTCTATGGGCATAATCCTAATCCCAACAATGACACCTAACCCCTACCCAGCCCTAACCTTAACCATAAGAAACCAAACAAAACACTTTTGGCATTTTTAGTTTTTTGATTGCAGTCACAGATTTTTATAAAATTGAGTTTTCCCTTGTGGGGACCAAAAAAACATGGTCCCCATAATGTCAAAATAACATTCGCTCCCCACATGGCCACATGTATGTGGTGTTTCTTATAACTTCTTCCCTACCAGGACCTGGGAGGGAGCAAAAATGTGGCCCATCTTGGGGTCTCCGTGGACCGGGCTGGGAAACACTGGGCTACGCAGTGCTGTATCGCTGACAACAGAATCCCTGCCCTTGTCAGATACTCAGGATGACTATGGTTACATCAGAACTGTGGGCGAAGGTGAGGATTAACAGTATGCTTTCAGATTAGATTCTATGAACTTTATTGATCCCAGAGGGGAAATTCTTGCAATTCTTTAATGCCTCGCGCAAATGATGACATGAGATTAAATCATATTACTTAGAACATATAAGACTAAGCAATGCGATAGAAAGTGCAATAAAGAGACAGTTAGATAATGGCTTCCTGCGGATGTGGAGACAGTGACGGCCAGACTGCGGCCCCTCGCTTCCTCCATGCAGAATAATGAGAAACAGATCACAGGAAGACATATTTAGGATGGGAAACGCATCAAGGCAAATAGATTCTTATTTACTCCACCCCAGGGGGGGGGGCTCTCTGTCCCTGTATCGAG